AGACGTAACCTTGCATGCCAAGTGTAAATATACCGAGTGGTCGTTTATTCTTTATTCTACATATTAGAAATATTGCAAATATTAGTATAAGACCGTGGATTTAATTCAATTACATATCGATTTCTGTTTTTGTTATCGCGGTGATTTTTCTTCGGATATGTATATCAATGAACCGTGTTTAATTAATTATTCGATGACTGGTAGGTTATGCGACGTTAGTGGGACGAAATACGAGACATTTCCTTCCTTTAAAAGAAGAATCACGTCGCATGAAATCATTATCACTAACTTCCGGGCGAATTTTGTATGTTCCACACATTGCTTGAAAAAAACTATGTTACGATATACATCGAAATGGATTTACATTGTATTGCATATGAATAGTCGAATACTCATGTCATTACTACGATCCAATTGCAATATGATGACTCGTAACATCCGTTTTTTCAACGTTTGTGTGACTTTTACAACAGCAAAGGCATAGCACGATATTCATATATGAATAAATTTAAAAATCTAATGGATTTCATTCCTTGACATTTTATAACTTTCAAGTTACAATTTAAATACGTTAATCGTACATTTTATTTTGCATTTTATACATTCGATTTGAAATAAAATTAAAATTGTTGAAATAGAATTGAAATTATTCATCATTTTAATTATTTGCAATTTCTCATTTATCGATTCATTAAACTTTATATAGTCGTAACTTTTTTTTCTTTTTTTTAGTAAAATCGCACACGAAACTTCTGATTATTCATTTCTTTACTTAATTAACTCATGAAATTCAAATCTCGAAGAAATCGTGCAACTTACGAATTCATGGAATCGCCAGTCATCTATGGCTTCCGTGGCGCCACTGGTGATTCTACTTCGATCATAGATGGCTCCATAGTAGTCAAAAATGTTAGAATCAAGAAACACTATCGAAGCTAAGGAAAGGAAAAAAAAAAAAAGGTTAAAATTAAAAAATTAAAAAAGAAATACGGAAGAGTGGAAAAGCGGTATGTGAATCGGAGTGAAGCGAAAATAAGTGGCACGTGCGTCGACGACGTTTAAAGCTATTCGAAGGAAAAATAGACGAAATCAAAGGGGAAGTAGTTCTCTCGAGTCCGCGACCCTCGATGTTCCTTCTATAGTTAGTTTAGATGGCTCCTATGGTTATTTTTAGAAATTTTCGCGCCTTTTCGCAGTCGACGACCTGGCGGATCGCCAGTTTCGGGAAGATTCGTGTGTCTGGCCTAGCCGCCGCGACGATACACGTGCAAGCGGCATGTATGGTCATGACGGAGGCGGTGGATTGCTTCGTTCGTTGCCTTGCACACACGGATACAAGTGCCACATGTATACGACCTCTCTCGTTTGGCTTCTTCCTCGTTCCTCGAGAGACTCTTTCCGCTTGGCCCCGTTTGAGGCTTTAAATGGAGACGATTTCGAACCATCGAGCGTTATAATTGATATATTCTAAGTAGGGTGATTTTCATTCTAAGGATTGACGTCTTGTCTTGATTGATAATTACAATATCTTACAATATCTTATTGATCGTTTCGAAAAACATAAGGAAATTTTTTATTATATTCTTCACGCTGTTCTTGTTAGGATTCAAATAACTTCAATCTGATTCGTGTAAAGCACGGTGTAGGAGCTTTTATGATTTCATTTCAAAGATAAAGAATGATAGAATATTTAGAATATTTCGATATATTGATAGATAAATGTTGGATAGGATATTTTAACTAATACTTGTAATGCTTGTTCTCGATTCTTGATTAAATTGATATATATATATATATATATATTTGTTTTTTAAATTAATCGGTCATTTGATAATCGTATTTTATCGAAATAAATATCGGTACATGATCGAAGTAGGATAGACAGATTTTTTTTCTCGGTTTGTACCAGGCTTAATTAAAAGTTCACGCTGCGATTGCAGCGGCCAGGTAAAGTGAAACCGGAAGACGTGTCTGGATGTTTTGCACACCGAGCGTGACGTGTTTCAAGATAGGGATAAGTTAGGAATTTTTGTAATTTAAATCTCCAACGGATTCTATTTTATATAAGGAGACAATAATTCTACAATGATTCTGATGGAAAAATCGGTTATGTTCAATTAAAACTATCCATTCCTGTAATACGTATATTATAAAATAATATTATGAAAGAAATCAAAGTGTTCATAACAAAAATAATCATTTCTAATTTTCATAGATATAATAATAGATTTAAATTCTTCTTACGATATTACATAATTTACTTTTCTAATCTTATATAATTATATTACAGAAGAATTGTTATCTGTATAATTGTATACATCTTTATTAATTATAAAAATAAGGAATTATAAAAATAAGATAAATAGATTGTTTCGTAATCTCGACCCTAATAAATCTATCAAATGGAATTGAAATTCGATAAACAAAATAAGTAAACTATAAAATAAAATTAAGTAGGAAAATTTAACATAATTAATTCGATCTTATAGATAAACATTATTTTAGATTTTTTTTCTTTCTTCTTCTTTTAAATTTTAAATTTCAGGTTAAGTTCATTGCATAAAGAATCTCGTAATGCTATATACTTCGTTTCTTTATTTCTCTTTGTATTATGCGAATAAAATTACCGGAATTGAAAGACAACTTCTATACGTATAAATCGAGTATATTAATGCATGAAAATGCAGCGATCATAAAGCTGAGCGGTTCCACTTTACGTGAAAGAAAGATACCTCGCTTATCCACTTCGCGTTTCGAATCGGCGATGTACATATCTTTATTAACTCTTTGACTCTCTATAACGCATTTTGACAAATACAGACACGATCGAACTGTAAAATATTATTTTAAACATTTATGTCACATTATGTGTCATTAGTTACGCATTATTACCTAAAATTTATTGATTATGAAAGTATGTATATCCTTTCTACATCCAACATTTACAGTAAGTTGAGAATTCTTGGAATATTTTTCATATTACCAATTAAAAAAATCTGAAAATGCAATATAGGCCAAGTATCTATTAGAAATAGATAGAATTCAGACACACAAGTTACAAAATAGGATATTTTATTAAATTATAATTATCAGATACTTTGTTTATTCGAAATAATTATAATATTTCCTTCATTTAAAATCTAAACAGAATATATTTCATTCGTTTTTTTTTTTAAATGTAATTTATAATTTATGAGTAATTCCATAATTCATCAAAGAGAAAGATCCGCGTTTAACCGAACTCTTCGTTACTCGAGAGCCAAATTATATTCATAAAATGTCGCGAGACACGCTTAACCGTGGGCAATGTCGAGCCGAATTCAATTATATTTATGATCGCCGTCCGATTAATGGTTCGTTTTATGAACGGAGCTGTTGCGGAACGAAATTCATCCGTAAATCGAGCGAACGTAATCGAACCGCTACACAGGAGGAGAGAAAAAGAGGGGAAAAAAGAGAGAGAAGGAAATATAGTAAGAGAAAGGCTTCCTTGTCGTGAAACGCGCTCGCCGACATTGAGCGATTGTATCCCGAACGTTGTCCTTGAGGAAAGAGTTACGATCCGTATCCGTGGCAGACAGGAATCTGGACCAACCGGATTTCCACTGATTGTACCAGACGCCATGGATGACACAGTTTGTAGAAACGCCCACGGTGTCGTATGTCCCTTCGAACGCCTCCGCGCAAGCCACGTGCTTCTAAAAGGGTATCATCGTAACCATCGATCGATCTTTCTTTTTGTTCCTCTTGATCGAGAGATTTCTCAAATCATCGGATAGTGTTAGTAATGCCTAGGTTAAAGGATATAATTCGGGATATTTTCTTTTGAATGATCGATGAAAAAGGATCTTAAGGATCGATATCGATATGATTTCATGATTAAGAATCTTGAAACTTTCAGAAGATTTATATATACATATGTAAGAAAATTTTCATTATTATATATTTTTTATATCAAATCCTATAATTATTTATTAATAGTGGTCAAAATTTATTTAACGCAAATTCTGTACAAAGTATGCAATGATAATAGTCTCTTTGTTCTGGTTCGTAGCCAAGGGAATCTTTGGAGATAAAGCGATATTGATAGCATCCGGTTAGAGTTCAGGGTTGATACGTTAGTTAAGCTCACTCTCACGTTTTTACGCCGCTCTGTGTATACCTGTGGCTCTACGGAGAACCGTGACACGATCTCTTTCCGTTGTCCGTGGCCGGCCTTCACCCTGAATATAGAATTGCCGAGGTTAAGACAGTGCCGAGCCTTGTTTCGTCCCGACTAATTAGCGACGTTTCACGGCTGTCCGCAAATGCTAGCAGTTTCTCTAGAAGAGAAAAAAGAAAATAGTTGGAACCACTAGCGTATCTCGAAGCATCTTCGAGGCTCGTTGCGGGTGGCAGTGTCCTTCGAGAGAGTGCACTCTGTGATCGCATCCAAGTTTCGTTCGAGCCAAAGAGTCGTATAATTAATTGTCCCCTTTTGTGCACTAGACTCTTAAATAATCGATTTAAGCGATGTTGGGTAATTTTTTTAACTTCTCGTAAAAACTTGTATTAGAGAATATGTTAATTGCTGTAACGAGAAACGGTTTCGTGTATTTTTTTTTTTTTTAATAAGTAACACTGAAATTTTTTAATCTATCGTATAATGCTATACGATAGATTAAAAAGAAATAGATCGTCTTTATGGAATTTATATATTTTATTTTTGTTCCATTTTTTGAAAAATAAAATGTATATGATATATACATAGATAGAATTTTCTAAAACTATAATCCACGAGAAAAACAAATGAGCTGAAAATTAATTATCGTTATATAAATCCAATTATACGATTAAAAAAAATAAGAATTCTTTGAAATTATCATTGAACTCATAAATATTTTACTCTAAAACGATTACATACACAATCTCGATCTCACCATCACAATCCCCTCCTATATATCGTATCGTATAATTCAAACGATTACAAAAAAAAAATTTTTTCCCTCCAACTGTTACAGAGGAGGAAGAGATCGACGTGGTGACCTTCGAGAAACCGTGCAGACCGGCAGCATTACCAACGTACCCGAGCCTGGCCGACCAACAGCACTTCCAATTAACGGTGAACACAGCGTTCAAAGAGAAAGCTCCTGGAACCAGACCACGTGGTCGACCTCCCTCGAATCCAGCTCGGAAAAGGACCGCTCAATCGGAGCCGAAGCCGGCGAAACGGGCCCGCCACAGGACATACCAGAGGAGAACCAAGGTAGGGCGATGCATATCGTCACCCAAGAGCGTGTCGAGAAGTTCCTCTGACGACGAGCTGGACACCGAGAAGAGGAGTCTGCACAACAACATGGAACGCCAGAGGCGGATAGAGCTGCGAAACGCGTTCGAGGATCTGCGTATCCTCGTGCCAGCTGTCGAGAAGAAGGAGAAGGCGCCGAAAGTCGCGATCTTGAGACAAGCGGCTGTGTACTGTGATACGTTGAACGAGATGAACCAGATCTCGATGGCCCAGGTGGCGGATCTGAGGCGGCGACAAGAGAGGCTTCGAACGAGGCTCAGTGTTCTAAGGAGGAGTCTCGCCATGACGCGCTGAGGGAGAGACTCGGGAGAATCGTGTCAGATTCAGCCCACGAACACGCGAAGAACACAAGCACTTGCTCGAAACGTACGAGTCGAATTTGTTGTTACTCCCTCGGAGAGAAGAGAAGAGATGAATGGATGGACGGACGAGCGACAAATCTCTACTCGACGTTTCGAGACCATAGAGACGATTTTTTTCAAACACGCCTGCATGCGAACGAAGAAGACTGCCTGACCTGTATAATTTGACTCTGACACTTATATCTGCCTTCGGTCGCACAGCATGGGGGAAAGAAACGCTTCGAATTAGCCAGATGGCGCGCTCAACGGCGCCAGATGGCGCCGTTGAGTAGAAGCGTCGGGCATTTTGGTCCTGATTAACGAGAAGAGAACGTGTTGCGATTCTCTGTTCCTAATCGAAGTTCTCGGAACTTGGTCTCGGATATGGGTAAACTTATATCCATATCCGTTTTATCGTATAAAAGAAACAAATATATATACATATATATATATGTATATATATTATGTATATGCACACGTAATGTCAAAACGAAGAGAGAGAGGCCCAAGTTTCGTTTGCTTCGAGTTAAGGGGAGAATCTTGAAGGATCGATGATATTAAATTCGTTCTGTCGAACGTGTACCAAGAACGAAGAGAGAAGAAATGAAATATCGTTCGCACATTGGAAGAGATCGAAGAAATCGCAAAAAAAAAAGAGCTTCGAACAGGATATTTATATACGTATATTTGTAGAAGAGATTCTTCGAATGACGAGCTACAAAAGTGAAGGGAGAGAATTGATAGAAGATCGCTTTGGCCGGAGTTCACAGAAGGTATCTGTAAGGACGTAAAAATTGAGTTCGACTAAAAAAAAAAGGAGAGACAAAAGAGAACGACGATAGATTCCGAATTTCTCTTTGTCGTTGTTTCTATTCTTTTTTTTTTCTTATTTTATATTATATATTATACACGCGCATACGTATACGTATACGTATATACGATTTATCACGGTAAAATGCACTGCGAGAAGAAAAGAATCACGAGGCTGAGTCGCGATGTCAAGATATAAATATTGATTTTTTTTTTTTTGATCTCTTTCTCGATCAGTGTCATCTTATCAGAGACAGATATTATCGACTAAGACCGGTTTTCCTGGAGCTTGGGAACTCGTACGTATTATTTTAAATATATTTCACGATATAGAGGCAATAGAGCAACGATGTACGAAACGTTCGATGAGGATCGAGATACGTGGCCTTTAATCGAATATAACTATTTATCATGCATTTTTCACGATACATATATACACATAAACATATATATATATATATATACACACGTATGCACACTCGTGGTTTTTCGTTTTATCGCGAAAGACTTGCATTTAGATATGTCGAGACAAATCTCCAAGTGGGAAAAAAGGATTATTATATTAATAATAAGAGGAGTCTCGATGATTTCGCGACTCGGTTCTCGAATCCTCTGATCGACGTTTGATGCAAAATCCGTGCACCACACAAGAGAAAAGAAAACGAGGCTTATCAACGAATGTTGTACACTGTTGGTATCGTCGGTTCCCTAGCCTTAACTGATCTTAGTACGTATTTCAGGGTTGAACCGGTTTATAGGTTGTTTCCTTCATTTTTAGAAAATGAACGAGCGAAAAGGAAGATATATAAAAATGGAAAATATACACACAGCTTACGATCGTCGATAGATCGTTCTTTTTCCAAAACTTGTATCGATAACAAGCGACAAAAAGAAGACGGATACTGAAACTGATAACTCATGAAGCTTGTTCTCTATATTAGCGATTTTATATAATGCTTTTACACGATATTCTCGTCACGATAATAATATAGTCAAAGCGAAATTTATAGATCCTCATAAATAGATCCATAGATCCATCGTACGAGTTTTGGAAATCGAAGGGAAAAATCACAAATCGTATAGATATTTATATTTCTCATAATTCTCGCAATTTCACGTGTTTCAACGACTCCAAGCTAAAAATTATTTTCATTATAGCATGGATGATCGAGGATAAAACTTGAAATCGATATATATACTTTTTTTTTTTTTTTCTTACTATCGATTCTTAATAGAAAGCATTCGACGAACGAACTCCAAAAAGAGGCGTGTTTCGCGGATAGGAAACGCGTGTTCGACAATGCCATTCAGCGGGAAGAAAAAAAAAATCACGGATAACCGGGTGCGGTGAAGCCAACAATACCCATTCACAAATCTCCTTCTTATCGAATTCCATTGTTTTCACCATTGCAATCTCACTGGCTTTTTCGCGTCCATAGCTAATAGTAGTTACTTACAGATCGATTGATGATCGCTGTGCGATCTTTACGTTCCCGACGTGTCACGCCTTCGATAGAGAAGCCATGGATCCAATATTGAGCGTGTTGGCAAGAGAGTGGCTGTATTCTGGGAATTTTGCAAGTAGGTGAAAGAACGTATGAGTCACAAAACGTGTGTAGGTAGGGTAACAGTTTTGCATCTAGCACAACGGACACACATGTTACGTGCATACAATATGCTGAATGCTAAAGAGAAAGTCATAGGACCGTGAAAGAGTAATATAGAAATTTAGTCCGGTACCTTAACATAATTCCTTACATTCTTTTCTTAAACGTGTTACATAAGGCATACCATGCATCTCTTCCATTTTTAGATATTTCGTTTCATACGCTACGAAACGAATAATATATATATTACCTAGCAAATTTTCGGGTTGCGAAAAATATATTCGAACCCCTTTCGTCTGTCTTCTTCCTCGTTCTTCTGATCCGGCGGTGCCACAAAAAAAGAAAAAGCAATCGTGATTGTGAAATGTGTGATAAAATGTCGCGTGTATATTATATTATATTTCGCTCTTGCTTATTATCGCGATTCCGTTTCCTTCCTTTCGCCGATTTCTCGTGCTGAGTGATAATTCACGAGAGATCGCCTTGGATGTTTTTTTTTTTTTTTTTTTTTTTATATATATATATAAAACGGGTGCAATAAGAGAAAGAGACTATGCGAAGAAGAATATCGTTAGTTTCGTTGTTAAATGAATTGTCGAGGATACGATGATAGCTTCGTGGGAAGGAAGGAGGCGGATTGCTGAATTTTTTCTTCTTGCTTTATCAATATGTTTTTTTTTTTTTTTTTTTTCCCTCCCTTAATCGATTGTTCCCCGATTTCTCGGCTCGTTACCCAAAGCTTTTTTTTTTTACGGCTGAGAAACGAAAATCGAGTTAGATGGAAAAGAGGCTTCCGGGAATAGAATTGTCTTCGAATAGAATCTTTCTTATTTTTTTATTTTTTGATTCTCGATCATTATACGCGGTACACGTTCGCGGAAATGGGTGTGGAGGGGGATATAGTGGCAACACACGATTTTATAACAGATGTGGAGATCAACTTTTCTTTCTTTTTTTTATTTTTTTTTATTTGATTCGAGGATTAGTGGCCACGCTACGCTTTTAAACGCGTGTAAATAAATGTATATATTTATATAGGATGGTATATACACACGCATACGTAACATAAGCAGATATATGCATGTATACTGCAAATTTATATAGAACAGGAATATATGCTAAGTGTATATGGTCAGAGAGAAAGGGAGGAGAGAGAAAGGAAATGGGAAAGGGTGAAAATTTGCGTGGATAAGAGAAATGAATATAAATGCTACTAATTATGGACTTTAACATTAATATTAATATTATTATTATTATTATTATTATTATTATTATTATTATTATAATTATTATTATTATAATTCTTATAATTATTCTTATAATTATTCTTATAATTATTATTATTATTATTATTAATATCTTACGATTATTATTAATATCTTATCATCAACATTTATGATAACTATTATTATTATTACGAGTTTTTTTTTCTTTTTTAGTTAACGAGTTTTTACTTAGCGTTTCACTGCTACAACATATATTATATATATTATATATAGTAATAATGATAGTGACGATATATAATAGACTCTTATGGGGGATAAGAAAAAAAAGTAAAAATGAAAATGGGAACTTCTTTAATAACACTCATACGCATAAACGATGAAGAATCGTTCGAATGATTCGAACGACCATGGACGCCGCGGTCTTATATATATAGATATATATAATTAACAGATTTTTTCGCTGTTTGATGACGATTTGAAATATGATCGGTATGTGAAAAAAAGAATTATTATATGGTAGGGATTATATTATATTATATATTACGATTGAAAAAAAAATATATATAAATATATGTCTATATATTGTAATTAACGATGATGATGATGATAATGATGATGATGATGATAATGATGAAGGGAAAAAAAAGAAAAAAGAAGAAAAACGGAAGGGTAGATACGTTGATAATATAACGAGCGCGATTGCGAAGATATGTAAAGATATAAATAGAAAAAAGAAAAAAGAAAAAAAAGATAAAAAAAAACGTCGTCGTCACGGCCGATCGCGGAAATTTACCGGAAGAAGGCGCGTTTTATACGGAAAAAAGAGAAAAGAAGCCCAATATGTGGCGCCCTCGTGAGGAGAGAGAGAAAATAAAATGAAGAAAAAAGGTAAAACAATGTGTTCATTACATTTGTAGGTAACAGTATTCGTTTATATACATACTTTTTACGGGCTATATCGAAAAAAATAGGAAACGATTAAAAATGAAAAAGAAAAAAAATACGTAAAAAAAAAAAAAAAAAAAAGAAAAAAAGGGAAGAAACAAGAAAATGGTTACTCGGAAATATAACATAACCGGAACCAAACTTCCGGAAGACTAGCTTTTTTTTTTCACGTATACATAATACACCCTCATATACACGATACATCTCAGATACGCATGCACGCAATGTACACATACATGTACTCCTTTCCCTCGATACATAACACGTTCACGCTATATAATAACATATACATGTACACGCAGATAATATTTTAAAAAAAGCTTGTGTTTACGCGCGCGAGCGTTCGGATATGAGAAGAAAAGAGGGCTGGAATTTCGAAGGGGAAGCGATACCACGCTCTCGCGACAATATCGGGCGAAAATTAAAGAGGAAAGTCGGGATGAGAGAGAGAGAGTTTCGAAAAAGGGATTTAGTTATTCACTGATCGAGCAACAGAGAGAGGACGAATGACATAAAGGGATCAAGCATTTTCTTCAAAGAGAATCGACACCTTGGATCGAAAACGGTGTGTGCACGTGCATCCCGGAAATAATGTCTCGACACGTATTCCTCATTCCTTCGACCGATGTTTGTTGTAATACACATATTCGACGCCGCCGTATGCATTCACACGTGCTAACTTACACTTATATATATATATATTTATATATGTCCATACACTACATCTATAATACCATTCAAATAGCATATACATGTAGGGAGAGACACAGACACGGCAATACACACGCGTATATACTATACACACACAGACACACAGTTACACATATACGAATACACGCAAGTTAATTAAAGACTAATCGAACGACACAGACCTGAAACCTGAATCGCAACCCAAGTGCTTCAAATTTATATAGGTACATATTAATCGCAGTAATAATGCAGTTCGGAACCACGGGTGGAACGCGTTTTTACGGAGTGTATAGAGTGTATGTTAAGGGTAGGGAGGGTGGATTCAATGCGGAAGAACTTTTTGACAAGTAAAAGTCGAAGAGGCTTGACTGGGAAACCCGTTGTTTCCGGAGTACTTTTGATCGTGCAAGAAACTACGAGATACGAAATTGAGTATCCGATGTGTGTTCCAGGGAAGATTTTTCGTGCAGTTGAGCACGATGATCGTCGAGAGGATGTGAATCCATATATAATATGTATTTCGGGAGAACAAGTTTGACCTGTGCGCTTTTTAAATAAACTATATAAAACGTGGCTTTATTCGTCGAATAATGAAAAAAAAAAAAAAAAAAAAAAAAAAAAGAAAAAGAAAAGAAATGAAAAATGATTTTAAGTAGAAAGATATTATTAGCAATTCTCCGTAGAAGAAAATGAAGAAGAAGAAGAAGGAAAAAAAAAACAAGATAATATTCGAATACCGAACGAGATATATACACAAAGGCCTTACAAATCGAATCACAGTGTAAAGTTTCGACATTCTTACATCCGCGTGACATTTTCTAGCCGTAGCTCCCGTTCTATTTTTGACAGACTTTTTATACGTTTAACCCTGCGATCGCAAATGACGATAATTATAAATATATAGAATGCCGCTTTACGCGATTACAGGAACGATTATATTATATTATTACGAAATATAGAACACACACAGTAACGAAACGAAAAGACTAAAAACAGAAAAATAAAAAACAAAAAAACAAAAAAAAATGAAGATGAAGAAGAATGTTAAAATGGAGGAGGAAAAAGATAAAAAAAAAAGGGAAAATGTTTTTTATAAACGAAAAATCGGATTTATTAACTAAAACAGAACGTTGTTCGCATACTCAGGATAATAATAAGAGGCGCCTTAATTTTTAACCGTTGTAAAAAAAAAAAATGGAAAAGAAAAAAAAAAGAAAAAATTGATTTCTGGGAATAAACGGAATACCTTCTCGCGTTATGACGTCATGTATTTTACATAATACATAAGAAAGAGTAAAAGAAGGAAATAGATACTATAATAATGTTTCTCTTCCTCTCCGCGTTGAAATTTTTTCGAAAGAGGCTCGCGTTTCTTTGATTTCGCGATTTTGAACTGACGCGTGCTTGCGTGCGCATGCGCGAGTCGCTAATGAAAAAAAAATGAAAAGGAAAAAAAAAAAAGAAAAAAAAGAAAAGGAAGCATTATATCGGCCACATTTTTATAGTTCTGCTTTTAAGATAAAAAATTTGTTAGTTCGATGCGACAAAGGAAACTCAACTATATATATATATATATATAATATATATATATATATACATACCTCGCAATAGATTTCGCCTTCATAAGACAGTAGCCTTCTCTTCACGCTAAATAATAATAAATAGTGAATCCCCGTTTTATAGCAGCTCTTTGCTTTTTTTTTTTGTTTTTCTACTTTGCTCGTGTGTCCGACCTGTGAGTTCTCTATATCGTGCCAAATCATGAGAGAAGGGAAGGTGAATCGAGAGAAAGAAAAAGAAAGAAAGAAAGAAAGAAAGAAAGAGGAATCATAGATAACACATTTAACTGAGCATTATTTTTTTTTTTTTTTTAGCCAAATTTAGTACGACGATTATGACTATACTTTAAACTCAATTAATTCGGAAAAAAGCGATTTATATATATATATTTATTTTTTATTTTTCCCTTTTCCCTGTTCTTTTGTTTCACTATATATACGCGTATAATTTTTTTTTCATTTCTCCCTTCGATTGACTAAAAAATTTCCCTAAGCCTTCTCTCGACAAAGACATTTCTTCGAAAATTGCTCAGAGAGTAACCCTCGTCGTTGGATCGTGGAAACGTGTCTTCTTTCTTTTTTCTTCTTCTTTTTTTTTTTTTTACTATCGTTTTCAATATACTCTTCTTTCTCGTTTTTGCTACACATTTTTTTTCTCCCGGTTAATTTGCGAAACGCTTTTTATCCTTGTGAAACGACGCTGATTCGAATTTATCGAGGCTTCGTATTATTCTCCTCCATTTCTTTTCTTATATATTAAATATATACATATATATGTATATATACATTAAAAAAATAAAAAAAAAAATATTAATATTATATACGATTTTGTAATTTTATATAAAGATATAAATACTTGCACAGTTTCTTGAATATGCGTCACGTGATCAACTGGGAGACATCTAGCTTTAAAGATTAGGCGCGTTGTTTGAAATTTTTAAAAAAATCTTACAATTTTATAACCCTTGTCCTGTTTCAAATAGTATCTAACGCAATCCTGAAAGAAATAAAAAGAAAAAAAAAAATTAGAAAACATAGATATCGATAAAACGAGATATTTGACGAGATTAAAATGAACATACAGAGGAATGAGATATTATAAAAATTTGAAGATCGAATTTTAAAGATTATTAACGTAAATATTATAAGATTTATTAAACAGATTATTACACACAGAAAAATAACACGTTTCCAAGATCTGACGGCGATTTTGAAGAGTGCAAACGTACCTGCTAGCCACATAGACATTAAAAATAATCATAGTTAATTGTATAAAAGGACAGAGAGGTGGTGTATAAGAAAGATTGCGCGTTTTGTAAACGACATACGTCGACGTAGCTTTAGCTTAGGAAAGGACAACGCAATTATATACTATTATAATATTGTTCATATATAATATCATTATATAATAAAAAAAAAAAACGATTCGAAGTGGCGCGCGAGATTCGTGTTCAAATGTGTTCTATTGTGTCGTTTATCAGATATAAAAAAAGAAACAAATATATTTTCATTTTTGTTCTATTATCTATTTTTTTCATTATTTCTTTTTGTTCGTTTTTACTTACTGATCCGTAAATACGTAATGTAATTAGGATAATTTTATTCACGCGTTAATCTAGATCTTACGCGGACACGAACGAATCTTGCGATCTCCACGATGTTTCCTTTTTGTAAACTTTTTTTTTTTTTTTAAATGTAATACACGAGTGCAGTTTCAGATTAATTATAAAAATATACGCATACAGTACAGAGAACGTCCCCTCCTCCGA